CCATGGGTGTGATGGTAAGCCGGCGGATGTGCGGCGCGGCTACCATCGTACCCAATGGGTGCGATGGTAAACCGGCGGATGTGCGGCGCGGCTACCATCGTACCCAATGGGTGCGATGGTAAACCGGCGGATGTGCGGCGCGGCTACCATCGTACCCAATGGGTGCGATGGTAAACCGGCGGATGTGCGGCGCGGCTACCATCGTACCCAATGGGTGCGATGGTAAACCGGCGGATGTGCGGCGCGGCTACCATCGTACCCAATGGGGCGCACTTTATTGAACTGCTATGCAAGACGTACATGTAACGTGATATGCTATATGTGGTATGCATACCACTGTTCACGGGGTCGGTGTTACACCACTGTATGTGGGATGCTCACCCTGCAGGGTGAGAAATGATGAGCACCTGGACTGAGGAAAATTACAGTGCAGGGGTGGGCATGCAGCTGCAGCACTCACCCCGGTAATGGGAACACCCTCCTGGCCCCTGGGTAGGCAACCTTTAAGGCCAGCTGTTAACCAAACACTAGCAACATACACCTACCCAGCATGGCCATCATTACCTCACTGCTCAATTACCCATCCAGGCAAAGAATTAGTCTGTACAGCAGCGTCATCCTGGGGATTGCGGGCTTCCAGGTGCAGCCCAGTATAAGACAGAACAACAGCACTTAGGGCCTCTTAAGACACCCGAGAAAGGCATGGCACACAGGCACTGCCTGCTCCCGCTGACTACACAGAGATTCCTCTCCTCCTGACCCTGACCGTCCGGGACCAGCATCTCCTACTGTCCACCTCCAAGCCACTCTCCTTCACTTCTATCCCACCTTTTCTCCACAATCACAAGCCACCTACACCAACCATTACGCCAGACAGCACAGAATCTATATCCCTATCTGTAATAGGCCCCAAATCTCGGGAAAAGGGCATACACACAAACACACGACCATACACAGCCCAGCCCCACAAATCTGCATGCTACACCACATGACCCCACGCCAGGACACTGCCCTGCCAGGCACCAATTCTATGTCCATCGTAGGCAAGATTCCCACTAGCGTTGTACACGACCCTGTAATGACTTCACATGGTCAATAACCGCCTTGGTAAGGGGCATAGGTGCATGCTCTCCCCATCCTGCAACACTCATGGCATTGTAGCTTCGGCACAATAAGCAGTAGGCTCGTGGCTTTGTAGGGTGCTGCTGAAGGGTAACACGAACTGGAGCTACATCCTTAGCCAAGTAAAAAGGGTTCGATTTTGACATTCGCAGGACAGGCACATTCATGTAATCATCAAGGAGAGGCAAGGATGGCTCATACCACTCAGAAACCTCCAGCACCACATCGTCAATTTGATCAGTACGGTAGGATGGCAGGCGCCATGCCTTTGCAACCTTTCCAACCCACCATCCAATTTCTGGCACAGCGGCACACTTCCTGCACATGAACCATGTATGCACATCATTTGGATAGGAGTTATCCTTGCTACGCCGGTACACAGCTTTGATGTCGATACAGTCATTTAAGCGTACACCTGCAAGACGCTCACTGAAGCTTGGTGGTACATCAAATTTGTATGGCTCCTTGAGTGCATCACTAGTGCGCCAGATTTCCAACGGCCACAAGTTCCTTAGTACCGAGTCCTGGATGGCCTGCAAGGTGTAATATCATTTGCCGACTTTCGGTAAATACACCATGATGCTCATTTCAACCAGACATAACTACCCATGCACAGCTCAGCCCTTCCTACCAAGGATTTGAAGTCCACTGCTTGTGAGATTCGGTCGTGTGTCAGGACTTTAGATCTTGGAGAATTGCCATCCACCTTCACACTTGCAAGCGCACCTTGCACTTCCTTGCATATGGACTGGAATCAACATTGGCACATTGTGGAAGGATGGTAATCAATACATCCGGCTCAGCAGGTAAGAACGGTTGGACATACAACCCACCCATGACTTACCCCAGCACTGGTATCATGGTCAGGCCACTGAGCCCATAGCCACTCCAGAAATGCAGCCCACAGTTCCTTGTACCTTGGGTCATGTTGAATGTACATTTCATGTAGCTGGGAGCGTTGGACAGATGATAAGGATGCCAGCAGCCTAAGTCCACCAGCTCCATCGATGCGCAAAGGCTCAACTGAGGGAGCCTTTTCATTGCGCCAGGTCCAGTAGCTGTGTATCTCCTTAGTAACCGCTACTCCCTTGGGAAGGATACCATCTAGCATGACTGTGCTTTGGTTACGGTAAGCATACTTGAGTGCTCGTTCAATAATATACCAAGACCGCATAACTGTGACTTCTGGTGAATCTGTCTGGGATGGAGTGGGAAAGCAAATTGTGCAGAGTATGCGATGAATGAGATTCAAAAAACATGCATGGTGACAGCAGACAGAATGACTGCTGGAAACGGTATCTTGCACATGTGTACACATAGAGGCACACACTTTAAGCACATATAAAGGTGCGCAACTTCCTGGGTAATCAGGGTGACAGACGTGGGAGGGAAATCAGGGTGATCATGATACACCCACAGCATGCACATGGCTAGCAAGGAAAAGGGACGGCAGTATGGCCAGTCATTATGAACCGCAACATACCTTTTTGACCAACTTCACTAGCCGCCCCATGAGTGCTTCATAGCCCCACATCGCCGTTGTATACGAAGGACCAAGGGTGAAAAGACGTTCCACGAGGTGCAGTAAATTATGGGCCTTAATGTCCAACTCTGTACTTGGCAAATAGATCTCCATTAGAGACAGAGCATGTGCCACGGCATCTAATAGCTCTTCTTGGGTGCAAAGGGGGATTGCATCATCCAGAAGGTATGACACCGAACAAAGAATCTGCTGCAGCACCATGCGGTGTATAGGTCTGAGTGACTTGGCATGTTCAAGTACATAAGCACCATATGGACTGGCCCAGAAACACCAAACAGACATTTTCACCCCTGATCCTCCAATAGTTCCAGCAAGCCTTGGACCACCACCATCAGCTTTGGGAACATCCTTGGAGATTTTTCTGGTAATGGCCTGCATTGTGATCTGGTCATCCTTGCTAACTACACAAGGCTCCAGAGTCCTGTTGTTTATACCGACTTCATACCTGCGTTTGTGAACACAGATGTATGGTGAAAGGTAATTGTAATAGGACTTTGGCAGGTAAGACAATTGTGCACTGCACTTCTGCAACCAATCTTACCCTTTAATGCGGTCAGTAACTCTTGAGGAGGTGAAGATGAGGTCAAACAGCTGAGCAATAAATTGGCCGATTGTATGCATGGGATCGTACTGCAGGCCTCTCCTAGTTGAGAATCCAGGAACCGATGTAAGCAACCTGTCACGCCAGGACCGGTTTGGCTGCTGCATCTCTGCATCTTGAACGTTAGGTGGGATGCCATGAAATAAATCATCGTCCATATCACTGTGAACATCACTGTCATCTACGTCTGCAGACTGAAACTCATCATCATCATCAACGTCATCGTCATCATCATGATCATCTGGGAAGTATTCCGAACTGATGTCTGATAAACTTCCCCGTGCTGAAGTCGTGAGCTCAGGGCCAGCATCAGTGTCATCATCAACCCTGATCTCTGGTACCTGACAAGCATGCATGCATGCATGAGATTGGCCAGCAGTTGAGGGCAATTGTTGCGTGTTAAGGATGCACAACAGCATGCTGTTGAGTTTAGGGTGTTACATGATCAATGCGTACTACCTTTTTGTGTGTGTATGTGTTCAGATCTGACAGAACGAAACACAGTGTATGCATGAACTCCACTACTGTACAGCACAAACAAGTTCATTGCATATGGTGCGCAAACTACTCCTCTGCCAGCATCACATAGTAAGGGGTCTTGTTGCCTCCACATACTCACAACAGACATAGAAACATAACCAGTACCTTGATTTGCCGGACCAGGTCTTCCTGTGTACGCTCTGGTGCATACAGGGCCTGTGAGTTCCAAGCAGCACGTACAATGGTACTGTCGTCAACATCGAACTTCCTTGGTCCTGTCATCGATGCAGCACCGGGGACCTTTCTCCATGACCACTTTATGGCATTATTGAGGTCAGCTGACAGCCTTCGCAATGGGGAAGCTTTGCTCAGATAGCGAAAAAACTGCCCGTACAGGTACTTGCTGGGACCCCAAGTCCCTGGGTGCCAGCACTTGAAGCAGCTGTAGACAGATGTGGGTGCACCAGTGATACCTACGACCTTCTCGACTGCACGGTAATCACCACCAAGCACTTGTAATTGAACTTTAGCGACTGCAGGCATCCCATTCACTGGATGTGTATAGGGCAGGCCTTCCGTGTTGAGCATCGTTAGCTCCTCAGCCAGCAATGCAAGGACATCATGGATAGGTACTGAACCTCCACGGCCGCTTTCATCACGCTTGCCAGGAATAATGCCACACAAACCAATCAGGCCTGGACGATACCTACACACAGACGATGATGACAAAGGTAGCAGTTCAGCATCACAAGTGAATTTAGAGGTAGTGGTCAGCAGACATGCACATACCTGTAGTCTGGGCTTATGTTGTACAGAGTTAAAACCAGTGGCCACATTGAGTATGATGACTTAAACTTGAAGGGATTTACACCATCGGTGTGCACTCCAACGTGCAGTGTCATACTGTCTGTATGATGATTGTCTCCCAAACCAGGGAGGGTGTCCAAAATGTCACAAGCAAAACCTGGCACAGAGCCCCGTTGCTGCTGAGTCAGGTTGCCATGCTGAAGCATTTGAAAAGTTGCTGGATCCTCGAGGTGAGATGTTAACCAGTCGGAAATGGGCCTGTAAATAAGGTGGATTATCCCTGTCAGAACCACAAACAGACATGACCCTGGCCTGAAGTCGACGTTCCATTTATTATACACACCTATACAGGAGCTTGAGTGATTCCTTGCGAGGTTTGTTGCAGCATGTACATGAAGTCCGCCCCTTATCAGTACAACGGTACAGGAATCCGCAAGGGCACAGGTCATATCCAACAAATGGCTTCCCCTCCAGGATACCCCGTTGCTCCAGGAATGTGAGGCACTGTCGATACTCCTTGGGCCGTAGCTGCTCAGGAACTGGGTAGGATGCACCACTTCGAGTCATCACTAACCTAAGGTGATCAATAACAGCTTCACCAGATGCATTATGCTTAAACCGATGGAGAACCGCATTCAGTACATCTTGCTCCATGCCTTGAAGCAGCGGTTCTACAGATGGATCACTGTTGCAACTCCTCCATTCACCCTGGCGTGCTCCACTTGGAGTCCATGTTCCAAAGCACCGCATGCGAAGTCCACCGTCACCATCGCCAGGCTTTTGAGGGGCTGGAAATGCGTCCTCAATGGCTGCAACTTCTCCCGCATCATTTTGTGCTGGCAGAGGATCTGCCGGTGATGCCATGTGGCCTTGAGGTGGTGGAGGTAAGGGATATGCCTGTATACAAGCATTATTATTGGGCTTCTCATTATCCTGAGCTGCTGCAGCACCACTGTAACTGGGACCAGCAGCTGGAGATGCACTGCCTGCCTGGTTAATTGCACTTCCTATGTGCTTGTTGAGTGTCTGACCCAGCAGCTTACAGGGTGGCTGCTGTACACACGGAAGAGAATCCTTCAGCCTTTGAGCAGTGTCCCGGACCTCCACCACAGGTGTACCCACAGGCAAGAAGTGTGGCTCTCTCCGTTGCTTGGTCTTCTGAACAGGAAAGGCTTCTTGGCTATGATGACGATACACCGACCGCATAGAAAGAACTACTGGGTCACCAGCACTTTCCAAAATGTTTGGGACACACAGCTGGCACAAGCAATAGGCACGGCCCTTCTCGCTTGGTGGAGCCATAAACCAGGTTAAGGGAAGCAGTGATGCTAGAACTAAGGCAAATATAAGTATTGACCAGTTATGGCATGATTTTGTTTGTGGAGTTAGGCAACCCACATAACCGTCGCCTGGTGGGGGAGGCCGTGATGGGGCCATTCAGCAAAATTATACAAACTTGTATTAGATTTGCAGATGCATTATAATTTGGCGGTGTATGCCAATCAGTACCTTCCTTTTTACCAACGTATGTTCGCAATGGCGATGGTAGTTACACCGTACATACTTACCACCGTTCATATGACACCATAATGTCCAAACTTGTTATAAAAAAGTGTTAATTCTATTTATACTATGACCTTCGCCGTGTAAGGATTCCACCACGTTCGAGTTGATGCTTGCCGTACACACTTACTGCAGCATGCTAGCCCACATGATACCAAACAAATAAGAATAAGAATTCATTGTACAGTCTGTATGCGAAAGACTACCAGGCAATTTGTCGTCAGCTGTGATGAGCACGTGCACGTTGCCACTCAACGCCGGCAGCATTCGGTAACTCATACCAGCCGTGTTAGATCCTTTAGTTAACATACAGTTTAAATCATTATCGCAATATGTCCAGCGGCGAAGTCTTACTGCGCCTTTATGACTGTATTCAAGAGGCCAGGTCGGCACACCTAAACATCAAATATCTAAGCTGGAAATACGCCTACTGTATTGCGCTTCATCCCATTGGCGAACAATTAGAGTTCAAGGACATGACGGCTGAGGCGCCTGTGTCCTCCAAGGCGGTTGACATCTGGGACATCGTCTACAAAAAGGAGGTCAGCATCTGCAAAACCCTAAAACCCTTTCCTCAATGAGCACCTTCCTTCCATTTGCATGGCAGCGAGGGCAGCAACACAAATAACCCGTGTTCTGCACATGCACCCTGCTGTGGTCAGAAGATGTGGGGCCCCAACCTGTATGTAGGGTATTAGGGAGTGCCCCTGCCTGCTGTGTGTTGGCTACGCCACGGGTTGCTAGGTTTGGGCCGGGTTTTAGCCAATAAGTGCCTATATAGTGTATACAAACTTCATGGTCCTACCATCTTCCCTGTTGGCCCACCCTCATTCAGGGTGCTGAGCCATTCTGCCTTTCACAGGCACTAGGGTCTTTGGTGAAGAAGCACATCTTCAAGAACTACCTGATTACTGGGGCACAGGAGCATGTGCTGCGGACGTGTGGCTCGTCTTACAGAACCATGGACTTGGACATGAAGATCGCGATGGTGAAGGCTGAAATGGAGAAGGCACCCAAGCCTCTGCCTGGCCAAATCGGTTACAAATACGGAGCCAAGTACTTCTGGCCCCAGCGCCCATGGATAGATGAGCTGAAGGTACGACATGTTAAGCAATGACATTTGGCTTGTGCCACTTTTTACTTTAACATCTGGCAGCATGCACACATGCCTAATGGTCTTTGTCGAGTACTCATGCTGGAGTATGTATGTTTGTGTGTGCTTTACCTCCTAAGATGTTGCATTACACTCTGGCGGTACCTTCACAGCCCATGTGCCTGTTACAACCATGTATGGGCCCAAGTGACCTGGAGGCCCAGGGGCCAACACCACCCTACCTAGGGCTGTCAAACATTATGTCATGCAGTAATTGTTATGTACAAGTAAGTCACAAATGCCACCCATATTCCATGCTGACAGAGGCTCCTGAGGGAGAAGGAAAACCTGGCCAAGTCTGCTGATGAGGTGAAACGACAGGAGGACTTTCAAAGTCAGCAACAGGCAGCAGCAGCCGCAGCACTGTCTCCACTCACCTCATCTGGGGCAGTAGATGTCGGTGTTGCTGCCAGTAACCAACAACATACTGCAGCCATGCCAGCAGCTACGCCCACGGGTGCGGTTGATACTGCTGCTGTAAACAGCACCGAGACTCTGGATGGCAGGGATGGTGGCCATGGCTCAAAGGGGAAGGTAGGTGCTCCCATTGATGCATACAATATGTGTCTGCCATGATTCTTGGATCTTGTATTGGGCCAACATGGGCTTTAAACCCCAGCATGCAACAGCACAAAAATGAAAGACCTCATGGTACACCATACTGCTGATCATGACTTGTCCATTCATGTGCATGTGTGCATGGCAGAACTTGGGGATGTTGTGCCAATCAGCAAGCCTGGGAACTGGAGGAGCTGCAGTGGCAGCTGCTGATGCCGGCGGTGTGACAGAGGGGGAGGTGTTCAATCCAGTGGATGCCACTCCAACTGAGGTATGGAGAGGGCTGCTGTTTGCAACAGAGGCTTCCTTATATGAAGATGTTTGGGTTTTGGGGGTTAGGGGGGTTGAGGAGCCAGGGCATTCAGAGGTGCAGGGTTTGGGATTTGCTGTGTAAGGGTTGTATGGTGGACACATGTGGGCAGGCATGAGGTTACATTTTTGTTGCCATACTCTGGAATTGTGCACTCACATGCAGGCCCTACAAAGACATAGTAGTCTAACAGTGCCTAATAACTCACACTGACTCACAGGAAGCAGCAAGTGGCTCAGCTGCCCGTCTCAGCTGCCAGAAGGCATCCACCTTCATGGTGGGTGCCTCTGCTGACAACACAGCTCCAACAACTACAGGTGGACCGGCCATGGATCAGGGCCAGCCCTCAATACCAGGTGGTCCTGGAGCTGAGTTCGTGAAGGCAGGGCCCATATACTTGCAGGTTCGACAGCAGCTCATGACCCGGGCGTTCGCCCGGTCGGGACTGGAGGGCAAGGATGGTTGCCATATGGCCATGCATGGCCCTAAGCGGAAGGTAGGTGTTGTTGGATGCATGCATCCAAGGATTCTGTGGCATGTTGTTTTGAATTTGTATTGGGCTAACATGGAGTAATGTAAAGGATGTCATGGTACACCACACCGCTGACTTGTGCATTCATGTGCATGTCTTCATGGCAGAACTTGGGGACGTTGTGCCAATCAGCAAGCCTGGGAACTGGAGGAGCTGCAGTGGCAGCTGCTGATGCCGGCGGTGTGACAGAGGGGGAGGTGTTCAATACAGTGGATGCCACTCCAACTGAGGTATGGAGAGGGCTGCAGTTTGCAACAGAGGCTTCCTTATGTGAAGATGATTGGGTTTTGGGGGTTAGGGTGGTTGAGGGGCCAGGGCTTTCAGAGGTGCAGGGTTTGGGATTTGCTGTGTAAGGGTTGTATGGTGGACACTTGTGGGCAAGCATGAGGTTACTTATTGGTTGCCACACTCCAGAATTGTGCACTCACATGCAGGCCCTACCAAGACATGGTAGTCTAACAGTGCCTAATAACTCACACTGACGCACAGGAAGCAGCAAGTGGCTCAGCTGCCCGTCTCAGCTGCCAGAAGGCGTCCACCTTCATGGTGGGTGCCTCTGCTGACAACACAGCTCCGACAACTACAGGTGGACTGGCCATGGATCAGGGCCAGCCCTCAATACCAGGTGGTCCTGGAGCTGAGTTCGAGAAGGCAGGGGCCTCATCCTTGCAGCTTCGACGGCAGGTCATGACCAGGGCGATGGCCCGGTCAGGACTGGAGGGCAAGGATGGCTGCCATATGGCCATGCATGGCCCTAAGCGGAAGGTAGGTGGTGTCATGCATGCATCCAAGAATTCTGTGGCATGTTGTTTTGAATTTGTATTGGGCTAACATGGAGTAATGTAAAGGATGTCATGGTACACCACACCGCTGACTTGTGCATTCATGTGCATGTCTTCATGGCAGAACTTGGGGACGTTGTGCCAATCAGCAAGCCTGGGAACTGGAGGAGCTGCAGTGGCAGCTGCTGATGCCGGCGGTGTGAAAGAGGGGGAGGTGTTCAATCCAGTGGATGCCACTCCAACTGAGGTATGGAGAGGGCTGCAGTTTGCAACAGAGGCTTCCTTATGTGAAGATGATTGGGTTTTGGGGGTTAGGGGGGTTGAGGGGCCAGGGCTTCCAGAGGTGCAGGGTTTGGGATTTGCTGTGTAAGGGTTGTATGGTGGACACATGTGGGCAAGCATGAGGTTACTTTTTGGTTGCCTCACTCCGGAATTGTGCAATCACATGCATATGCAGGCCCTAAAAAGACATAGTAGTCTAACAGTGCCTAATAACTCACACTGACACACAGGAAGCAGCAAGTGGCTCAGCTGCCCGTCTCAGCTGCCAGAAGGTGTCTACCTTCATGATGGGTGCCTCTGCTGACAACACAGCACCGATCACTACAAGTGGGCCGGCCATGGATCGGGGCCAGCCATCAATACCCGGTGGTCCTGGAGCTGAGTTCGAGAAGGCAGGGGCCTCATCCTTGCAGCTTCGACGGCAGGTCATGACCCGGGCATTGGCCCGGTCAGGACTGGAGGGCAAGGATGGATGCCGTCCCCCAAAAGGGAAGGTGGGTGATCCCATGCATGCTTCCAAGATGTTGGACACTTTTGAGAATATGTGGGATGGGCCCTAGTGTTTACAGTTAAGCCAATTGAATACTAGTATTACTATTACTGACATATCTGCAGGACTTGTTCCCTGCACTGGCTGCTGAGTTGGCGGGGCCAGCTGGCGGCAACAAGAGCAGGAAGCGCAAGCGGCAGCATGCAACCGTGCAGGAGGCTGCTGAGAAGGTGGCCAGGATGAACGATGACAGCATGGAAGATGACAGCATGGATGATGAGGTGGGTGCCAGTACTGTGAGCTAGTCCTTAATTTTACTTTATGAAGTAGTTCAATTGTCTGTACCTTGCACCCAATAATATGTGTGCACAGGCTCCGTAAGGTTTCAGTTACAAGTACTTCATACTAAACATGCTCACATAGTAGGTACTGTGTGAGCACATGCTCACGTAAACAGGCATGTTTAGTAGGAATTAATTGTCTGTACAGAACCCATCTACCTGGAATGACTAAACAGAGCAGGCAACTCCATGGACCGTTATCATGTGGCCTGCTGCCTAATTAACTTCGATGAATGGTATGCAGTATGTAATCGTATGTACATGCCTGGCTGTGTGACCCAATAATGCAGTACATCACTATTGAGAACTCTGTCTTCAGTGTTGACAAAGCTGAGGATGTACCAGCAGCTTTGGAGAAGCACGGTCTCGCCATCCTGCAAGTCAACGATCTCAGGAACAGGAAGAATGTACCATCAGATGAGGTGGAGAAGGCTATACTCTTCACGCAGCAGAATGCTGCTGCTGTCTTTCAGGACATCCCGCGAGATGCGGAGGGCAACTTCATCCCGGAGCGTGACAAGTCAGGCAGGAAGACAGGCATTTTGCTGTCAGATTTTGGGACCCAGCAGCGGAGGCAGGTGATCATTAACACTGATGATCCTGACCAAGAAGATATGCTGCAGGTGTTTCGTGGTAAGTCCCTGCTGTTGGATCATGCACAGAGCTCCTGGATTAAGTTAATAATCATCTGTGAATGTACTCATGCAATCATTCTCGGCTGAGATGGTAGTCATGTGCTTTCACAACCATACCAATAATACAATGCTTGAGCTTCACTGCTGCATGAATACCTCTGTCACTACCCACCCTTACTGTTTTACCCCATACAGTTGTGGTCGAGCTGGAGGTGGACATTGTGCAGCGTGCAATGAATATTCCAACCTTGCAGCCCAGTTCACCTGCACTCCTCATGAACACACAGTCCGCAAGCCAGAAGCCTGTTAGCCGCCAATGCTGGCACATCGACCTCAGTGAGGACCAGACTGGCTTCGTGGTGATTGCAGCTGTGCAGCAATGTTCACTGCTTGTCTTCCCTGGCAGCCACAACCAGGTGCAGGAGTACTGGCGGCTGCAGAAACTACTGGAAATGGAGAAGATTGGGGAGGCCACTTTGAAGGCGTGCCTCACCAGCAAATTTAACAGCGTTAAGGCTGTGCGGATCAACCTCGATCTGGGGGACATCCTTTTCATGTCTGGACACACCATTCATGCGGGAGACCGGGGCATTGACAAGCACCCCGCCCTGCGCATGCACTGGTATGTCACTGGAATGTACTGGCAAACTCCTCACCAAACAGAGCAATCTGCGTGGTTTCATTCTTCTGTTTCTTCTCAGTGACATACCAGCAACGTTGCTTGGTTGTGTTTACGGCACAGGGGGGGCCGAAGGAAGGTGGGGGATGGTAGGAGGGAGCAAGAGATGGTAAGGGAGGGCAATAGACAGCAGAGGCGAGCAAAGGGCGGTTGAGAAGAGCAGGGGGGGGGCAAGGGAGGGCAAGGGACGGCAGAGGAAGGCAGGAGAGGGCCAGAAAGGTCACAGGAGGACAGAGGAGAATGGGGGAGAGCAGAGGAGGCAAGGGTTGTGGGAAGACCGCAGTGAGGGCAAGGGTTGGAAGTGGATGGCAGAAGAGAGCAGGAGAGGGCAGGGAACAGCAAAGGAGGACAGAGGAGAGCAGGAGAGGGCGAGGGAGGGCACAACATTAGGGACTAGCAATTGCTTGGTTCTGTACAAAGCAGGTGCAGAGGTGGGGTTTGCATGCAGAACGTTGGGTTGTATGCAGTGGAGAAGGTCTCAGGATATGGAGGGAGGGTACGTACCCTCCCTATGTATACATAAAAGTAGTGTGTATACATGGGGATGGCAGAGTGAGAAAATGCTTACAGGGCTTGGTCCCATTTTCTTAGTTTTGTATAGTGCCAGATCTAGGACTTAACATTGACATCTTGTCTTCTATCCTAAGCTCTGGGAATATGGCTTAGGGTAGGCACAGCATTAGTTATTGGCTGTCACGTGAGACAGGATGCACATCATTCACCTTGTGGGCCAGCTGGTGGCTGCTGAGAGTTACTCGGGTTGAAACTGCTTGTCAAACATGTTGTGTTTGGTATGCCAAAGTGTGAGGCTCAAGGATGACGTTAGCAATGTAAGCAGTGCCATTCCTTTATTGCCCTAACATCACTAAAGCAGTTCCCATCTGGTAAGGTAACACTTTCCTAATTAGCGAGGTATCATGCATAACTGGCTCTGATGTTTTAAGCAGTATGGTTCAATTCATCTTACAGAAGCCAGGACAGTAGGAGTTTAAGTCGTTACAGATTTCAACAGGTCAAGGGAGGGCAGAGGAGAGCAAGAGACGGCAGAGCAGGGAATTGGAGAGCAAAGGCCGGCAGAGGAGGTCAGGAGGGGGCAAGGAGGGTAAGAGATGGCAGAGGAGGACAGAAGGATGCAGAGCAGAGCAAGGGATGGCAGAGGACAGCAAGAAACATCATGCTAAGGCAAGGGAGGGCAGAGGAGAACAGAGGAGAGCAATGGGACAGCAGAGATAAGCAGGACATGGTAAGGGAGGGCTGAGAAAGCAAGGGATGGCAGAAGAGAGCAAGAGAGGGCAATATTGCCCTCCATTAATGGAGGACAGACGAGGAAAACAGAGAGCAAGGCACGGCAGAGGAGGAAAGTGGATAGCAAGGGGCAGCAGAGGAGGGCAGGGGAGGGCAAGGGAGGGCAAGGGAGGGCAAGGGAGGGCATGGGATGACAGACGAGGACAGAGGAATGCAGAGAAGAGCAAGGGATGGCAGAGGAGAGCAGGGGAGATCAAGAAGGGCAGAGGATGGCAGAGGAGAGCAAGGGATGGCAGAGGAGAGCAGGAGAGGACAAGAGAGAGCAAGGGATGCCAGGACAGGGCAAGGGAGAGCAAGGGATGACAAAGAGGGCAGGGGAGGGCAAGTAAGGCCAGCGTAGGGCAAGGGAGGGCAAGGGAGGGCAAGGAAATGCAAGGGAGGGCAGAGGATAGCAAGGGATGGCAGAGAGGGCAGGGGAGGGCAAGAGAGGGAACACGAGGGCAGGGGAGGGCAAGAGAGGGCAAGGTA